CCAGTAGGACTCCATTATACTAGAATTATAATAAGGAGCCCCCAAAATCATAGAGGTGATTGTTCAGGCCCCTATAGTAAATCCTTCATGTACCCCTTGTAGTAACCCCTTTAAAGGAACCCTTAAAGGAACCCTATTCTAAGAAAATATTAAGGCCCGTATAGTAGGCCTCGCAATCCTGGAGCCCTACACCCCCGAATTTCCCTAGCTGCGGCTCTGGCCATCGTCGAGACACGGGCGCTGCCAGGTGTCTGATAGCCAGCCTCGCGTCAAGACTTGAATAGGGGTTTGGGGTTTAGGGTTTAGGGTTTGGGCTGTAGGGTTTCGGGTGTAGCCTGGCGGCACTGGGTTGCTAGACACTTGCCAAGGTTTCCGCAGCACGGGGGAAGCACACCCACCAATGCAGGGGCCTTATTATTTTTAATAATTAGAACAGGGTTTAGCGGTATCTTATACTATAACTACAATTTTTTCTAAGGAACCCCCCAAAACAGTATAGGTAACTATTAAGGCCCCTATAATAAACCCTTATCGTACCCCTTATAGTAACCCCTTAAAGGAAGCCTTACAGGAACCCTATTCTAAGGAATTGTTTAGGCCCCCATCTTAGCACTTATGGACGCACCTTGCTCACGGACACTGGGCTGGAGGACTGGCGCAACGGCAGCTGCACCTGCCGATCCGGTTGCCGACATAATGTAGGGAAGTAGGATAGGGGTTTCTTTAACGGGATCCCTAAAAGGCTTCTATAAGGGATCTATGATAGGGTCCTATGTTAGGGGCCTTGAAGATTGGAATAGGGTTTTGGGGCCCTTTATACTGTAATCGTGATAAGGAACCCCCAAAACTATATAGGTAGTTATTGAGGCCCCTATATTCGGTGTCTCAATGCAAAAACAACCTGTGCGACGAAGTCTTTGGTACTTGCATGTGTCACGGCAGGTCCGCTTGCGATGGCTTGGTGCATGTTAAGCAGCCACAACTTCGTGTTCAAGTTACCCTAAATCCTAAACCCTAAAAGGGCTTAGGCTTTAGGGTTAATAGCGCTTGGGGTTGCCTAAACCCTATAAGGCCTATACTCAAGCCCTAATGCTCGAGTGCATCTCGAACCGGCCCGCTCCCCACAGACACACCTCCAAAACCCCTTAATTAAGGAATATACCCTAAATCATATTAGGGGTCCTATTATGAGCTAAAATATACTCTTAATTAAGGAATATAGTCTAAATCATATTAGGGATCCTATTATCAGTTAAGGTCTACTCCCTTACTTCCCCGTTCTAGATCCCTGTAAGGAACCCTAAAAGGAAGCCTTTAAGGTATACTCCCTTACTTCCGTTCTAGATCCCTGTAAGGAACCCTAAAAGGAACCCTGTAAGGTATGTTCCCCCATTAGAGTTTTGGAGTCTCTAGCAACCCTAAACCCCTAACGGGGCTCGTTTAGGTATACTCCCTTACTTCCGTTATAGATCCCTTTAAGGAACCCTTTAAGGTATATTCTCAACTAGAGTTTTGGAGTCTCTGGGCAAAACACCTTGCTCACGGATGCCCCGGAGGACTGGCGCACAGGCATCTGCACCTGCCATGGCGATGGATCTGAACCCTAAATACCCGAAACACCCTAAATGATATAGGGGCATTTGGGGTTGTAGGGTTTAGGGTTTAGGGTTTAGGATTTAGGGTTTAGGGTTTAGGGTTTAGGGTTTAGGGCCCGAAACACCCTAAATGCTATAGACATTTGGGGTTGTAGGGCTTATTCTGGGCAGAAAAAAAAGGAGCCTTAATGATTGGAATGTGGTTTTACTGAGGAACCCCCCAAAAAAATAGTGTGGGTAATTCTTTAAGCCCCTGCATTACCTTAACTGCGGTTAAATACCAAATACCTTAAACCCGAAATACCCTAAGTGGTCACGAGCACATAAAAGACCGCAGGGGTTAGGCAAGGAGCGTTTAATTAGAATGTGCTTTTAACCCACGCCTGCCAGCAAATTCCAGCAATGTGTATTTATGCTTGTTGAAGGGACTATGTAGGATCATCCTGCCTTGAAACTTAGGGCGTTGCTGTAA